AGCTCAATTGATCGTTCTCGCAATTAAATAATTCAAGATTGAAACATAATCTAAATTTTTCATTTCATTGCTATTCCCATATGAGTCCAAGTTAAGTTTCAACCATAATTTCTATATCTTGAAAAGTCGGTAAATTAAAATAAGCTGCTTAAGTGTCAAATTATGGGTATTATTTACCAGTCGAGTCCCTCCTTCTCAGCAAAGAAATGGAATGAAAGGGACAATACATCTGCCTTTTAACGGGCAATGTTTTTCCGGTTATATAGGAAATGTGCACAACGTTTAATCCTTTCATTATCAAGTTTAGCATTAATAATTGCGTACGAATGCTCCCACATAAGGAGTGGGTCAATGGAAAAGGAATATAGTACTATCTATATTATTTCAATAATGTAATTTTGTCTTTGTATAAAGTCATGACTGGTGGTTTGTTTTGTTCGAAATTCGCCACGTAGTAGAAGAAATTTCCGATTTTAGTTTTAATTAATTTCTTGTAAATTCTAAGTTAAATATGTACAAGTTATTGCGAAGTGACACTAAACCTAAACGATTAATTTATCGATGGTAGTCACAATCACATTGTTTAAACTCATAAATATTCAAGATTGTAATGAAATCTATGATAATATATTAAATATCACATCAAGTGATAATTATTTTTTTGACGATTTTAACACTATTATAATTCAATTATTTCAATAATATCGTGCTTTTCGTTTTTCAATATATATTTAATTTATTTAACCATTTAGTTACCATCAATGTACATATACATTTTACGGATTCATTTCACCTGTACTTTCATTAATATATGAATTCCTTATTATTAATTCTCAATTAATTAACATTCTCACTCATTTAATTAATATTCATTTATGTATTTCAGTATTATTAATTCTAATTATAAGTTAAATAGAATTTTACGTTCAAGAATGCATTTCATTATTCACGTCCATGTATGTTAATACATCCAGTTGAAAATTACATAAATTATTTAACATTCGTTGTCACGTATATATTACATGGTATTAATTCTAAATCAATTAACATTCAAGCATGTTCAAATATTACTTTTACAGCGCTTATAGAGCATTTTATAATANTATTATTAATTCTCAATTAATTAACATTTACATTCATTTAATTAATATTTATCTTCATTTATTTGTTTCAGTATTATTAATTCTAATTATAAGTTAAATAGAATTTTACGTTCAAGAATGCATTTCATTATTCACGTCCATGTATGCTAATACATCAAGTTAAAAATTAAATAAATGATTTAACATTCGTTGTCACGTATTATTACATAGTATTAATTCTAAATCAATTAACATTCAAGCATATTCAAATATTAATTTTACAGCGCTTATAGAGCATTTTATAATAACATGCAACATATGTAGTGATGGCAACGGGGTGAGGCGGGGCTACACCACTCCCTCGCCCCGCCTTAGACGGGGCAAGTGCGAGGCCCGAGCCTGCCCCGTTTGTTAGTTTTTT